AGCGGCAATCTCGTCCATCCAGGGCTTCATCACGCTCCTCAGCACATCCTCAGCACATCCTGGTAGATCTCAGCGGTGACTCTCAGGCCCTTTTGAAAGAAGAACGGAGGTATGACGTCCCCCTCACTGCACACAAGGCCAAGACGACCCAGGCGTGGCTGCTCAACAATGTTCCTCACCACTGGTCGCTGGACTTGTGGCCACCCTCCCCACCTGACTGCAACCCCCTTTACTATTTCTTCTGGGGGCGTGATCGAGGCCAAGACTAACAAGCACGTTCCCAACACGGCACTATGGACATGGTCGGCAAAGTGTGTGACTCATTTCGCGCCCGCCTTGAGATGGTCGTCGCCGCCGCCGACGGTTACTTTGAAAAATAATGTAGTATGTAACTCTAACTGTTGCTAAATAAAGTGTCGCGTCTCTGCATATACAACTTTTGTTTTTATTGCCTATTTCTTTTCTGTTTGTCAAGTGCCTGATTTTTGCTGCAACACTATATATATATATATATATATATATATATATATATATATATATATATATATATATATATATATATATATAGATAATATTAGTGGAAAATATACATACATATGAAAAATATATTAAAAATTCCCATACATGTATATTTTCAGAAAAAAATTTTTTCAAGAGGAAGGATCCAGGTAGAACTCAATGTCTAGGACAGAGTAAGGATATAATAAAAAGGCTTAAACACTAATATTCCATGGTCATAATTTATTCCATTGGAATCGTAAATACGATCCAAATCATCAGACCTACAAATTCAAAATGAAAACAGAAAATATATATATATATATAAAACGCGTAAATCAGCCAACTAAAAAGACCTAATAAAATTCTATTCTCATCATAGCAACAAAATAAAATCCGTCATAATTATCGCATTCTACCTTAATAGTACTAAGAATATGCAGCTCGGATTATTTACATGAAGAGGAGAAAAACATTGAAAATACTTTTCCAGTACCGTAATTATTGTATATTCAATGAGAGGTCCCAATTATATTCCAAAACAAAAAAATCGGCCCCTCCTGCGAAACTTAATGAACCGAAAAAATATATTATCCTGCCTGCTAATTCTATCACATCTACAATCGAAAAGAATCTATCTAAACTCAACATAAAATTTGTTACTACTACATCCAAAACAATAAAAACAATACTAAACAAAACAATAAGCTAAAACCTGAAGGTGAAGCTTACTACATCGCCTGTAATAATTGTCACAAAATATACATCGGAGAAACCTCAACGTATCTAAATAAAATATTATATAACACAAAAGGGACAGTTTATAAAATAATACATCAATTGCATAAGTTGTCCACCGTAACGAGACTGACCCTAATTTTGACATAAAAAAATGCTACTCTGAGAAATAATTTACTAAAACGTAAATGTCTAGAGAGGGCCTTAATCTCAAGGTGACATACAGTAAATTTGCGCCCTGGCTCTTGCGGCAATTCACTATTCCTGGCAGTCCTTCTAATATCACAGTGTTAAATACCTATTTAAAGAAGTGATGGAAAGGAAAAGAAAAAAAAAAGTTTAAATGAATTCGGCTAGATTAAAAAAAATTAAAATTCCCAGTATCTCTCGTTTGTAGTTGTACCAACATAAGAAATTTAATCTGATAAAGTCTTGAAGGATGAAATTCGTCACAAGTAAACATTTTCCACTTTGACAAACACTTTTCCGCAATATTGTTCTTGATATATAAATATATATATATGTATATATAAGAAGGGAAATATACTGAAAATACTTTCACGGCCTTACAATACCCTATTTCATATTCAACACCCATCGGCAACATCCTGTTTCATGCGTAAACGCAATCGCCAGGCAATGTGCGTTGTGTCTTGACTCGACTATTTATATATGCTGCTCAGTAGTGAATTATGGGTAGCTATATTGTATTATTCTAACGTTTTATTTGCTGGGAGATAGCGGTTATGTTCCGAATTATTGTAGGAGTTATGGAGTGGAAATAATTGTGGATCCGAATGCAGTTTGGGGGCTATTTTATGGTATTGTTTGTTAGCGTTTATACCCATTATTTATCAGTGATTATTTTAGTATTTGTTGTTCGTTGTTATCATTAGGTTTACTTGTTTTAATGTGTGCCTTCGTGGTTTATTAATTTGTTTATTATTTACTTAATTTATTTACTTGTTTTTGATTTGTATTAATTTATTTTTTTATTATTTATTTTCTTTTATATTTTCTTTATTCATTTTTATTTCTTTTGTTCGTTTTTAGTTTTTGATTTCTAATTAACTTAGTAAAAATGTGTTTACGTGTCATCAATTTGAGATGAGTTCTGATTGTTGATTTAGTAATTTTGAAGATAATTACAGCTATTTTCTCCTTCGAACAGTGTTTATATTTCTGAATTTATTGTTGTAGTTGTTTTGGTTTTAATTCCCCAAATATATTTAGAAAGCATTGTGCTATTCAAGCATTTACTATTTGTAAAGGATGTTTTTGTGTGTAATTTCGTTGTTTCCAGATTCTTACAGTTACTCCTATGTAAATTAGTCTTCGTTATCTCCTGATCGATAAGCAATAAACAATCACTTTTGCAATTGTAATTGTGCTATTTTTTGATTTCTGATCTTTGAAGAATTTAATGAGTTCTTTTCTTGATAGGTTTACGCTACTTCTATGTAACGATTAATACAAAAACAAATCAGCTCTCTCTAAATATTACTGGTGGTAGCTATAGACCCAAAACCTCACATATGAACAAGAACTAAATCTGACAATTTGCAAAGGCGAAAGATGTAACCTGTGCCGTGTATAAAAATTAATTATTTAAAAACAATTAAAATAAACTTAATTTACTAAGCAAAAGAAATGAATTAATGGCGACATTTTGACTTAAAAATAAATGCCTGTGGAAATATGTTAAACCAGATTGATTTTAATTCAAGTTTATAGCTTCCGTTTATTTTTTCATTCATTTACTCAATTGTGATTTTTTTTTTAATAATGTTTCTTTTTAATATAACTTTATATAGTCACTAGCTCGATTTTGTACTTTCTATTTATTTCGATGCATGTCTAGATTTGTTTTAATATCTTCTTTTTTTATGTGCCATGTCCTTTCAGGACGGAGGCGATTATGGCTCTCCACCTCCTCTATCCCTTGCAGCTCTCAGCAAGTTTTTTTCCTCTGTTTCCTCCACCAGACCACGTTCTTTCGTCCACCTGATCAAGCTCGTCAGGTTTTTCATACACTGCTATCCCTTCTCTCTTTCTCTCTATTCGACCCGTGAGTCTCAGATTCTCCAGGCCTTCCTTCCTCATTATGTGCCCCAGAAACTTCAGCTGCTTCTTTCTGATATTAAGTATAAGCCTCCCCCTTCTCTGCAACCTCTCTAAGATCTCATCGTTGCTCACACGCTCGGTCCATGATATCCTTAGCATCCTTCTATAAAACAACAGCTCCGTCACCTCGAGTCTCTTATACCATAAAAATATATTGAAAACATATTAGTCACAATATGTATTTTATATATTGTACCATTTCTTCTATATAAGAATGATGTATATATTTATATGTATCAGCGTATAATTGTCTTAAGTGTTTATATATGTGATGTTATGTATATTTATGTGATATTATGTTTATATATATTCATTAGCTATATGGGAGTCTTTATAATCACAAGCATATTTGTCTATATTTGAGTATGTTTATTTATATGTGTATGTATGCTTATATATATATATATATATATATATATATATATATATATATATATATATATATATATATATTAATAAACGTGCAATAAATTTACAAATACATGAATTATTCACACAAAACTAATGCAAAGGTTAATGATTTAAATGGCGAGACATCCATCTCGCAAACAATTCAAATAGTAAACAAAAAACCTCCAGATCCGTTATGAATGAATTGATCCTTGTTTATATAAATTTCTGCCGTATTAGTTGTTATTTTTACTACAAGCTTTCGTCTGTTCCTACAGACATCTTCAGGTATATAATAGATGTTGTTCTTGTTTTTTTCTCTTAGTAATAAGAGGACATCGAAAATATATGTATTGTATCCGAAATGCTATTGAAAAATGAGTTATTGGTTTTTGAACGCGCCGAAGCAACGCTGAGTTTGATTTAAATTTTTTAAAGTGTTTGCGTTTATACCAAATATGGTGATGAACAAATTATTTTACTGGTAAATTTTACTGTCAAAGTGGCATGAACTATATTGTTCAATAATTACAGTAATGTCTCGCCATTTAAATCATTAACCTTTGCATTAGTTTTGTGTGAATAATTCATGTATATATATATATATATATATATATATATATATATATAATTACTTTTGTAGATATGCTATGATATCTGTGTGAATATTTGTATTATTCTCATAGTTGCATAGATATGCATGTTTGTCTTTGAATTATATTATATTTTTGTACATATGTATATATGTATATATTATTTAATGATTTGTTTTGTTAACATTTATTTATAGTTATTTTTATTTTATTTAATTTTAGTCAATTTTTTAAACAAATTACTTAAATAGTATTGACTGCGCCACTATTACTGCAGCCCGATATATATATATATATATATATATATATATATATATATATATATATATATATATATATATATATATATTTGTAACGATCAGTTTTCAGTCAGCACCTAACAATAGCGTAGTGCTCCCGGTGAGGGGAAAATGTATATTTATTATTAATATATAATTTATAGCTCTGTAATTCTACACCGAGCACTATTTTAATAACAACATCACTCAATATAATGATATTATATATTTATATTCACGCACATACACATGCCCCATATATATATATATATATATATATATATATATATATATATATATATATATATATATATAAAAAAAAAGTAAGAAATATCTGGCCTTGAGGAGCTCTTTCAATAAGAAACATTTGTGTTGTTGTTACGGTCATATCCCCAGAAACACTTGTTTCCATACGATCACGAAAGTTAAGCAAGTTCGAGCCTGCTCAGTATCTGGATGGGTGGCCACTTGGGAATACCAGGTGTTGTAAGCTAGGATGTGAAGGTGGTGTAATCGCTCGTAATTGTTAATCAGACAGAATAGTTCCAGTTACAGTTGCTTTCGTTATATTCACTTGCACGCATATACCCTTGGAGAAGTTATGAATCAACCTCTTTCCACCAAACTATGGATTAAATAGTAAGATTTGTATTACTTAACCATTATTAAAAAATCAATTAATCAAATACTGATTGGCTACATAGGCATGATTTATTTTTTACTGATTTACATTCCTTGGAATATAAGTGTATAGAAACTCCCGTAGCCACAAAGTGAGGGTTCAGTTTATATATTGAGAGTACTTATATTAGTATTATAATTTACTGTTCATTTATCAAATTCTCATTACATAAAAATCCACTGCTTCTCCCCCCAACTATGGGTTAATTAGTAAAACGTATCATTAAATCATTATCTCTACCACCAAAGTAAATCGTACATTCTAATAGTACTTTCTGGTTGTAAATAACCTAGAAAGTGCTGATAAACCATAGAAAATGATCCAACAATTAAATGAATCAGAAAACTATTCTGCCCGTTAACACACTTGAACCATTCTCTAATTTATTGAGTATTATTGTTTTAAACGCAGAAGTTCAATGTCAGTGCTAAAAAAAAACAATTCAGTAAGGTGTGAAATTATTCATGCATGCAAAAAAAATCAGACAAGTCAAAACGCCTGTTTTGTGTTCGTAAGAGAAAAATCATATACATTTAAATAATATAGAATTATGATTATGAATCATGGCCAAGATCAATGAAAATGCACAAGAAAAATTACAATAAAATGTGATATCCTTCTACAGGGCTCCCTTACTGCTAATAATCATCTTGAATTCGCAGTGAAAAATCACGTAATGGCCAAAATCACCCGTTGTATTACAGCAGATTGACTAGGACATAATTATAAAGAAATAAAAAAAAATAAAATGAACTTTATCAGCAAATTCAGTGACTTCAATGTTCAATTTTTGTGAACACAACATGTGGAATCTATTTTGAGATCTATGCTACATTCCAAATTACAAACACACAGACACATTCGTAAGATATAAAAGTGTTGCAGATAAGTGTGAATAAATAAACTAAATAGAAAAAAAATTGTATTTTATATCTGGAAGAATAAATTTAATAAACAAAAACCGATATTGTTTATGACTTCAGTCATGAGTGGCGTTCACAAAAATAGAAAGATAATGGCATTGAATTTGCTGAAAAGATGTTCTCACCAATCTGAAGCTTGCTATAAAATAGAACAACCATATATATTTCAACAATAGGAATCAAGAAGAGACAATATAAATAAATGAAAAGGAATCAAGAAGAGAGAATATAAATAAAGGAATAGGAAACAATAAGAAACAGTATTAATAAATGAATAGAAATAAAGAAGAGAGAATATTAATAAATGAATAGGAATGAAAAAAAGGGAATATTAATAAATGAATAGGAAACAAGAAGAGAGAATATTAATAAATGAATAGGAAACAAGAAGAGAGAATATTAATAAATGAATAGGAATGAAAAAGAGAGAATATTAATAAATGAATAGGAAACAAGAAGAGAGAATATTAATAAATGAATAGGAATGAAGAAGAGAGAATATTAATAAATGAATAGGAATGAAGAAGAGAGAATATTAATAAATGAATACGAATGAAGAAGAGAGAATATTAATAAATGAATAGGAAACAAGAAGAGAGAATATTAATAAATGAATAGGAATGAAGAAGAGAGAATATTAATAAATGAATAGGAATCAAGAAGAGAGAATATTAATAAATGAATAGGAATGAAAAAGAGAGAATTTTAATAAATGAATAGGAAACAAGAAGAGAGAATATTAATAAATGAATAGGAATGAAGAAGAGAGAATATTAATAAATGAATAGGAATGAAGAAGAGAGAATATCAATAAATGAATAGGAAACAAGAACAGAGATTATTAATAAATGAATAGGAATGAAAAAGAGAGAATTTTAATAAATGAATAGGAAACAAGAAGAGATGATATTAATAAATGAATAGGAATGAAAAAGAGAGAATATTAATAAATGAATAGGAATGAAGAAGAGAGAATATTAATAAATGAATAGGAAACAAGAAGAGAGAATATTAATAAATGAATAGGAATGAAAAAGAGAGACTATTAATAAATGTATAGGAATCATGAAGATTGAATATTGAAAATGAATAGGAATCAAGAAAAGAGAATATTAATAAATGAATACAAATTAAAAAGAGAGATTATTCAAAATGAATAGGAATGAAGAAGAGAGAAATATAATAAATAAATAGGAACCAGGAATAAAGAATATTAATTGAATAGGAATCACGAAGATAGAATATTGAAAATGAATAGGAATCAAGAAAAGAGAATATTAATAAATGAATACAAATTAAAAAGAGAGAATATTCAAAATGAATAGGAATGAAGAAGAGAGAAATATAATAAATAAATAGGAACCAGGAATAAAGAATATTAAATGAATAGGAATCACGAAGATAGAATATTGAAAATGAAAAGGAATGTAGAAGAGAGAATATTAATAAATGAATAGGAATAAATAAGAGAAAATATTAATAAATGAATCGGAATCAAGAATAGAGAATATTAATAAATTAATAGGACTAAAGAAAGAGAATATTGATAAATGAATAGGAATGAAAAAGAGAGAATATTAATAAATGAATAGGAAACAAGAAGAGAGAATATTAATAAATGAATAGGAATGAAAAAGAGAGAATATTAATAAATGAATAGGAAACAAGAAGAGAGAATATTAATAAATGAATAGGAATGAAAAAGAGAGAATTTTAATAAATGAATAGGAAACAAGAAGAGAGAATATTAATAAATGAATAGGAATGAAGAAGAGAGAATATTGAAAACGAAAAGGAATCAAGAAGAGATAATATTAGTAAATGATTAGGAATAAGGAAGAGAGATTATTAATAAATGAATAGGAATGATAAATAGAGAATATTAATAAATGAATAGGAATCAAGAAGAGATAATATTGATAAAAGAATTGGAATCAAGAAGAGAGAATATTGATAAAAGAATAGGAATCAAGAAAAGAGAATACTAATGAAAAATGTATCAATAAGACAGATTATTAATAAAAGAAGCGGAATTAAAATAAAATATTAATAAATAGGGTGTTGAAAAATAATTTTCTTGTCTAAACGACTTGGAATTGCAATACTATAATATAAAATGTTTTTGGCCATCTTGTGTCTTTGATTTGTCACTGCCAATACAATTGCTTTATTAAAAGTAAGAGAGTCATCAAGTAGCACATCATAGTCAGTTCCCTTACACCATATATCTTTTATTGTCTATTTTCTTTTCACATGGCTTTGATACGTAATCATTCTTCCATATTACTTCAATGTATTGGGTTGGTGCATAAATATCAGGGGTTTTAAACTATATTTAATATGACAAAAGAAACATACCAATTCAATAATAACATTTTAAAATGATTATTCCGGAGAGTTTGATTATCGACACACATTTTTATAATCTGAAAATGAAATAATATATTTATTTAAAAAAAGAAGCAAAACAGCAATTTTTATTTTATATTTTTATAAATAACTCGCATACAGAAACGCCTGATAATTATCCACCAACCCAATATACTATTTTTTTCTATTACAGGCATAACACAGGCGATTTGACTTGGTTGATTCTTTGCATGCATAAATAATTTCACACCTTACTGAATTATGTCGGAAAATAATTCTTTTTACCGAAAGATTCGCTCATTTGAAATATCAGTGATTATAGAGATTTTTCTTTCACGCCAGCAGACTACCTCCTGCAGGAATTTAATTCTTCTTTGCATCCACCAAGAAATCTTGAAGCCAAAAATAATTTCACTCCTTACTGAATTCTTCATTTTATTCGGAAGAGAATTCTTTCTAACGGAAGACTGACTCATTTGAAATATCAGTGACTATGGAGATTTATCTTTCACACTGGTAGACTACTTTCTGCATGAATTCAATTCTTCTTTACTTACACTAAGAAATCTTTTGTTATTTTATACAATGTCGCATACCTCTGTTTCGTTTTCCCGATTAGTAATTTCCATAACACTTTTCAAATTATCAATTTACCTAACACTTAATTAAATCTAAAATCTGATCATCTACACACATATTTAAAAAAAATATATATTTATATTTCGTAGAATACAGTGTATAGAAACTTCCGTGGCCTCACTATGAGGGATCATTTTATATATTGAGTGTAATCCGAAATTGATCCCCCACTTTATATCCACATTATAATTTCTTGTTTGTTTATCAAATTCCTATTACGTATGAATCCACCTTTTTTCCCCAGCTATGGATTAATCAGTAAGACTGGTATCACTAAACCATTATCTCCCCCAGCAAAAATTCTACAATCTAAAACTATTTTTTGATTGTAAATAACCTGCAAAATGTTGATAAAACGTAGAAAGCGAATCAATCAATCAATCAAATCAGGACATTCTTCAACCAATTCCGGTTATAGCAATTATAGACCTATCCTGAAAGTCTTCAAGCCCCATTCTAAATCTGACTCATTGAAAAGGAGCAGAATCACAAACTTCTTCTTCTTCTTCTTCTTCTTCTTCTTCTTCTTCTTCTTGTTGTTGTTGTTGTTGTTGTAGTAGTAGTAGTAGTAGTAGTAGTAGTTGTAGTAGTAGTAGTAGTAGTCGTCGATTATGGCTCTCCAAAATTCCATGTCTCCTGCGTAGCCCTCAACAAATTTTGTATTTTTCCTATTTCTCCTAAACTTTCTTGCATCATTCATTTACCCAAGACTCACTTGGTAAGTTGTGCGTTGTTTTCCTCTTACCTTGTCCCGTGGGTATCAAATTTTCTAAGCCTTTTTTTTCCTCAGTATATGCCCTAGAAATGTCAACTTTTTCTTCGTCATGTTAATTACAAGTGTCCTTTTTGTTTACATTACCTCTAAAACTTTGTCGTT